AGCAATGGATTGATTGGAGGTTGAAGATCTTGAGCGGTGCTCGAGTGCATGCGCACGAATAAACTGTATGCTAATGCCCATAATTGCATTCTCGGCGCGGAAGAAATTCCCTCTTTAGGGTGCTTTATTGGGAAGCTGGCCTTTGAGCGGATCCCGCTAAGGTCAAGGCCACTGTGGACTGGCCGGTTCCAAAAAACTAAAATGACTTGCGCAAGCGGCTCGGCCTCGCCAACTACTCGCACAAGTATAGCGCAAATTATGCGGAAAAGGCACGGCCATTGTCGAAACTCTTAAGAAGGGTGCGGAATGGTGTTGGGACAGCGAGCATCGAGAGGCTTTTGATAGGGCCAAAGACAGCCTCCTTCATGCACCAATACTATCTTGCCAGACCTCGCTCATACGTTTAGTGTCGTCTGTGGCGCTTCGGACTTTGCCATCGGTGTGCAATGATACAAGCAGACGCAGAGGTGCGAGATTGGGTGATCGCATTCGAATCTCGACAGCTTAAGGTTGCGGAGAGGAACTACCCAGTCTACGACAAGGAACCTCGTGCAATGAAGTAAGCACTTGTCAAGTTCATGGTGCAACTGCTGGCTCGAAGCCATTTGTGATCTATACAGATTATGCGTCACTACGTACTGCGACTCAGTCGCCTCAACTTCAGCAGGGAATGACCAGGTGGCTCTCATTCTATTACTTCGAGGTGAAGTACAAGCCAGGATAGCAGAATGCTTAAGCTGATGCGTTGTCACGCAGACCAGATGATAAGATTGCTCATGTCACGATAGTGACGTCGTCTGTGACGGATCTGATCAGCGCCGCGGACGCAGGTGGCGGCTATAGGCGCTCGCGTGCAAGAGGCTTGGAATATCGGACAAGAACTTGTTGGCGCGACTGGGTGCACGGTTGCATCGATATTCTTTGAATAATGGATTGCTGTTTTATAGCACCGATTCGACGGGATACGCCACGAATTGTGGTTTCTCACGATGAGGATCTAAAACACCGTATCCTATATGAGGCCATCGATCCTGTGGTGCAGTGGTACGCCGCTCACTTCAGAACCGGGAGGTCCAGGGTTCAATCCCCGGGCCGGGTAGAGAGGGGTAAGAGTGTAATGAATAAAACCCTACAGCACGTGCTTGACATGGCGTACACGACTCCTAAAAAGGGGTGTCGTTTCCCATCATATCTATGAGGCCATCTTGGTCGTGATAAGACGTTCAGCCCTGTAAGTTGCCACTACTGGTGCTTCAAGCTGTATAAATGGACGAGCACATATGTGACACGTGTGAGACGTGCCATAGGTTGAAACCCTCACCGAATACAGCGGCGCCGCTGACCAGTTTACCGGTACCCGCAGTCCATGAATTTGGCTTTGTCGTTGGTCTTGGCGGGCAACATGGAGTGTCGCGGTCATCGTCGACCGTTTGAGCAAGATGGCTCATCTTGTGGCAGTGTCGGATACCATTGACGGTGTCGGTACAGCGACAGTGTTTGTGGACCGTGTCTTTCGATAACATGGACTCGCAGAGTCAATTATCTCTACCAGAGACCTACGCTTCCGTTGGAAGTTTTGATCTACAGCTTTTAGGGTGCTAAGTGCCAAGTCAGCTTACCATCCCCAAACCAATGGTCAAACTGAGCGCGAATTGCGTCGTCGACGACTACCTTCGCAACGTCTGTGCTAGGATACTGAGGTGCCGGAGCGCCATGCTGCCACTTGTGGAGTTCGCTCTGAATAATGCAGCGCATGCGTCTATTGGCTACACGCCATTCTATGTGAACGGGATTGTGAATTTTCGCGTTTCGCTGACGCTGCCATCCTAACGCTCAGAGCTTGGGGGGGGGAAGCCAAGCGGCTTGCTGATGTCAGCTCCTTCACTGTCCGAGAAAAAAGTCGATGATTTCCCCTCTGCCATACTGAGTGTCCTACGACACGTTCGCGATGGCTGAAAGCCAAGAAATGCAAAAGAATGTGCAGATGGAAGAAGCAGAAGAAACGTGGAAGACTTTGAGGTCGGAGACCTGGTTTATTAAATAATGAAAACCTTCCTACACATGCAGTCTCTGCTGTCTTTGAGACAAAGCTCTGTCCACGGTGTATCGAACCTTTTAACGTTGTGACCAAGCGAGGCCTTGCGTTTGAGCTGAGCCTCAACGGCGCCAGGCGCTCCACCGTCACACGAATTCGTCTGCTTGACGGCTAGGATCCGCTTCGACAGAAAGCGATCGTCCTCAACGTTAGGCCGTCGTTGAACAAAGTGTTCCAAGCTCTCGAGGTCTTCCTTAAAGCGGTATACGACCTCAGAGAAATGACCAGCAGAGTGCCGATGACCAAGTGATTTTGTCCTTTAGAGATCGGAGAGCATCGGGGGTCACCGGGCGGTGATCGACTAAGTCGTCATCATATATCGCCGACTCTTCTCGATGAGAATGATGGCTTCCACTACCACGTCGAACGCCTTGTGGGCCGACGTCGTCGACAGTGTCCGATCCAATATCTTGTGAAATGGCAGGAACACCCAAACCGCGAGAGCTTGTGGAAGATTTAGATGCCACTTCGGCAAGACATCCCAGATGTCGTGGAATCGTGAGCCCCGCTCTTCTCAATGGTAGCCCGGAAAGCCGGAAGGCTATGTGGTGAATTCAAGCTATACCCCTGAGCTGCTGTGGTCGTAGACTCACTCGCGTGAGAAACCCCAGAGCTTGCGGGAGCGTGATGAATCATTCCATATGGCGCAGGGCGACAATACGCAGGAAGTCGGCGTTGCGCCTTGAGTTTGGCAAGCTCAAATCTAAGATCGCGCTCAACGCGCACGTCCAATTGCTTGTGGCTCCGCTGTAAGTGAGACAGCGAAACCAGCTTTCGGTGCCGCTGCACCCATCGCTCTAAGAGCACATCATCCTCTGCAGCGGTTTCGCCAGGCCCGATTACCATCGGAATGTCCGCATTGCGGGTACAGGAGCACCTCTTTTTTTGCACAAAGTCAGGCGCGGTACCTTTCCATTGGGATTTCTTCAGAAACCAAAAAGCGAGCTCGGAGAGCTTTTTGCTAGCTTGTGTAGCGACCGGCGGCCCGACAAGGGAGACGCCTAACGATCGAGTGATCGCGTCATTCGCTTTAGTAGCAGGATCCGACGAGCGGAAGCCGTAGAGGGTGTAGGGCCGAACGTGAATACGAGTGCATGAGAGTCACCCTGTGTGCAGCCTCCGACTGCTGCTCCTGTGCCTCGTCGAGGCGATTTGTTATAAAACCACTTCCCCGGAAGCCAAGAGGTCGAGGAACGTACACGATGTCTGCAAGATTCGAGCAGGACTCACGTCGCGCCGTTGACGCAGCTTGTCCTTCTCTTTTTTCTATCCTTGGAAAGAAATATCCGACTCGAAGCCGACTTCTACCAACTCCTCGACAAGTAAATCTGCCGTCCGAGGCGGGCGCGGTGTGTGGCGCCCGAGGCGGGCGCAGTGTGTGGCGCCCGATTGCCGAGGTCTTGGGATGTGCTCCTCGTGAAGCACTGTCCAGAGATGCACCACAACGAAGGGATCTGTCCGCGGGCGCCCTCGGAACCAGCTAGGCTAGGTGTTTTTCGTGTCATAGACACGACCTCATTGAGAGGAAAATATTTTAAGGGGCGTAACGGTTTCTCAGACACGCAAGCCTCGTATGAGGAGACAGTTAAATCTGAATCATAGGTATTCGCAATTTCGATAGTGGAGTGTGACGGGGTTACACGTATCCATAGTATAACGGGTTTCACGTACTCTGGTATGAAAGTATGAATCACACAAGTTGGTGTGACCGTACAAATGTTTGAATTACACAAGTCGATGTAATCACACTCTTGTGTGGCTATACCGTAACAGGAAACCACTAGCCATTATTTGACTATTTAATCGGAAAAACCTAAGGTTTTGTATGTAGACGGCTCTGCTGAAAATAAAACAATTAAATACAGCCTTAAATTTGAACGGACGAGTTGTTAAGGTTTTTAGGTACTCTTGGAGATAGCGAATTGAGATCCGCTACACTCGTACTGGTTTTGTATATATAGAAAGTAAGGTCGGTGACCTTAGTAAGCTTCCTCTAATAAAAGAGCTACTGTAGCCCCGCTGCAGGCACGACGCGTCATTTTGCTCATATGTTGGCAATGCACGAGTCGCCATCCCGAGTGCAACTGTTAGGGTATGATTATCTGTAATTGAGTGAGTTTCTTGTCTTTACAGTTTTGGAGTTGTTTCTTCGACATAGACCTGGGGTCTCGTTGGGCATAGAAAAACTTGGTATTGGTGGGTTTTGAACCGGTGACCATTGGGCCATCGGCTCAGTGTGTGACCACTGCACTAGTGAATGTTGAAGTGTGATGCGCTACAACTTATGAGTGTATGCTTTGTATTTTTGGACATTGATACTTATGATTTACAACGCTGAGCTAGGCCGCATATTGGATCAGTTGTTTAGTGGGGGGACTCTAATTGATTGAGCGTGAGTTCAAACCAGATTGGCTAAGTTGATTCAACCAACGTCCCCTGGTCCTATAATATATTGCAGACCAGATCGTTCGTCATCTGGAACAAATATGGCAATGTTAGGACGAAAAAGACCTTTTCACTCGGGTTTAATCATCAAATCAACAAAAATAAATAGGCCATCTTCGCAGCAGATGATTTGATACCTTGTTGTACGTTTGGATTCTAAGCGCATTTGATACTAGTACTCCATTATAAGGTAACAGCATCCAATAGATAACAAAAATACGACTGTTTTTTGCAGTAGATTACAAAGTTTTGCCGTCTTTACTCATAAACAAGCCGACATGTAGAATGGTGACGTAGCTGACTCATTTCTCCTCGTTTATTGCCATTGTTCAAAGGCTTACATGTTCCAGAAGGCATCTACATGGTATTCATCTCACTGCTAGACGTCGTATGCAATTCCGCTGATGCAACATCCAGCAATATGAAGTTTTTGAACCAGTCTGAAATATCTAAATCTACCATGCAAGTGGTGGTGACTCCAGCGCCGCCAGCCAAGCACCAGAGCACTTTATTATCGAGCACGCTACTCCTCTTTGTGTTATACGTCACGGACAACGTCATGCAACAGAAATGGGTACTTCGCAAAACGTCTGCGGACTGTGCGCGGCTAAGCAGGAAAGTCAATCGAGCTGGAAATGAGTGTGGAAAATTTGTCTGCTGTGGTCACTTGCAGCAAGTCATCAAAACTTCTGTTAATTGGCGTCTGTGGGACTCTTTTGCCCAATGCATTGCATTCCAGACATATGTTACCGATCTAATTCGAGTGGCTCCAGGCAACACCTCTTGCAAGGCGATGCAATGGACACATCATCTTGTCGAAGAATTTCTTGACGCCACAAATCAGCGAAGCAAAGCTAGCGACTGTATGCCAGCTAATGAATATCTGGTCGCAACACCGAAAGTAGCTTCATTGACGAGTCTTGACGAAAATCGATATCAAGACTATGGTGCAAGCGCCGAAAGCTATGAGTGCCCAATCTGCTGTGGCAATTTGGCTGACGATCCAACGTTGCGTCTATTGTGTGGCCACATCTACCACGCCGATTGTGTAAGTGTGTGGCTAGAACTCCAGTACACGTGTCCTGTGTGCCGGGTTGCATCTAGTACGCTGACCGATAGTGTACGAGCCGGCACTGGGCGGGTCGTGGGATAATTCTAGAGCTACCGCCGACTTGAGCGCATCCATTCGTGCTGGCCGATTTGAAACTGTAGAAAGTCGTCAGCTTGATCCATTTCATCATAGGGCACGTTGTAATGAGTATCAAAGCTTTGTCTCGCTGATTCTATTTCAAAAACTATTTGTTTGTTTCTGTTGCGCAAGATTTATTGTCATCTTCGTAGTACGATGTTCCGTATGCCAGAAAGAACTCCTCACGCACAGCCACTTCTTTCCATGTAACAATATAGAGTTGATTTAAAACGATAGGGCTCGTCGTATCCTGTGGATTCTCTATTACGCAGCCAGGCACTAGGATGCAATTGTTGTAGAATCCCGAGGCATCCCAATAGACATCAGCCGGATATTCGTACACACGGTCATTCGGAAATCCGCCAGCGGATCCATCTGCATCTACTAAACCATCAAATGGCATCAAGCGATGACCATATTGTGTTTGAAACTTATCAACGTCCCGTACAGTACCATTGACTACGACAAATGTTTCTCCCAATTCGCCACAACGCGCTACCTTATTCAGTCCATCATGGTGCATCTCCTTTGTTATACGGCGGACACCGAAGATACAAACTACTGAGAAAGCTGGCCACGGGTGACTAGACAAATTAAATAGCCCCCTTCCAGCATTTGGAATACCAGAAATTGCGACACCAACTGTGCCATTATCATTTGTTTCTTGATAGGTGATTGTTTTCAGATTCACCTTTTTAAACACCAACTTTGGTGGCTTTGGGATCCGTCGCTTGACTGCAGCCAGCTCAGCATCTGTAAGCTCGGAATGAGGAGAGCTCGAAGCTTCACTTTCGGTGACAGGAGACGAACAAGCGCTACTGCTCTCAATCCTTCGCTTCTTCCTACAGAAACAAGCCATAGCACGTACGTTAATGAAAATTTAAAACAATTTACAGAGCTTTTTTCTGCGTACTGGGCATCTTCGTCAAATATTGCAAATATCTTCATTTGTCGAGAAATCATGCTTTTCATTGCAGATGAGTAAGCCTTCATCGGATTCTTTGTCGCTAAAACCTTTTGACAAAGTTTTACCATGTGCACAGACGGGTTCGCCACCTGGTGATGGCGACACCGATTGCACAATTCTTTTGTAACGTAGCACAAATCAGTTTTGAACTTGATTTTAGCGATCATTTCACGTGCCATTGTGTCGAGCTTGAACACCCTGGTCAATTCTGCCACGAGAATGCTTGAGTTTACCTTCGATTCATCATCGACTGACTTTAGTATCGCGTCCGCAGCAGGACTGTTTGCAAACTGAATAGTTTTCACGCGTCTGACTTTTCCAAACACAAACGCCGAAAAGTTTTGGCACTTTACATACTCCATTTTTTTCCACATGTCGTCGAGTAAAAATCGATCCACGTCAGAAACCGCACGCGCTGCAATGGGATCAAGATCCCAAGTGCACAAAAACGCATTACGCAGCAAAATTAGCGAGTCTTTTACACGTTTTCGCTTCAAATTGCTTGTATTCGACATCGAAGAGGATGCATGCAGCAACCACGGCATTATCGATTTGGCATAATGATGCAGAAACAACTCACCACCCCGTCTACCTCCTTTTTCTGACGAATCCCAATTGTTAAAACCATAATATTTCGTGTTTAAGTCAAGAACTGTGTCTAACTCATCCATTTCAGAAGGTGACGCCCGTCCAAGGTAGAGTTCCCAAGGACCTGGTTGAATTCTGTGCTTCTTCATAAATGCCACTACCTCCGGAGGCGCTGAGTGTTTAATTGGGGATGAAGAAGTATCAGACGTATGAGACACCTCCCGTTTCAAGATCTCAAATGTCTCATCAATTTTGAGAAGTGGGTCATCTTTAGATGCATCGCCATCTTCTAAAGGCGCCGAGTACTGCAATCCCCACTTAGACCAAAACTCAAACACTGCTCGAACATTTGGCTGTCGGCAGATTAATATAAAACATGCCGTCAAATGTGCTAAAGAAAAACAGATAGATCAGCAAACGTACATTGTGTTTTGCATCTTTACGCAGCTTTTGGGCCAGCTGAAACAAGATTTTTTCAAGCGAGAGCACCAGTGCAGACTCGCGCATCTTCACATTTCGGTCTTTTTGGGGATAATTTGCCCGCAAAGACTTGATGACATCGTGCACAACATATACGACACTTGCTCGCGCCTTAGACGACTCCATGGCATCCATTGTTTTCGCTAATTTCTCGCAAATTGCATCGTGCAAATGCTGGTGACAAATCATGAATTTTGAGCAGGCCTAATAAACAAGAAATTCTGACATTCGTAAGGCAAATCTCTTTAAATAGTAAAGCAAAAGCCTACAGCGCACCTGGATTGCCGATGGTCTTGTATCCAATTGGTCAATAAGCAAGTCAAACTCCAGCATGGGATCACCAAACGTATGTGAAATCGCCTTGGCCGAAAACTCCAATTCCTCCATGACTTTCATGCGCTCATGTAACTTCTCTTCTTTCTCCACATTCACTTCTGCTACAATAAACCCAATCACGACGCCATCACGGTCGGTGCAGAGTGATTTCAAAGACTCTGGACTTGCCCCTGCAATACACAGAATGGGGTCAGCATATCATCTCTGACGAGTAAACGAGCTTTTTTGTCCATTCAACTCTTTCGTACCGCTCTTTCGTAATCGATGAAAACACTTGAGACTTTTCAACACCACCGGAACCAGCAAGTAGAGCGTAAAATTATATGTAGACGCCATAAATTGCACACATAGAGCGCACTCGTGTTTTTTCATGTAAGCTTTCATATCTTCGCAGTTTTTGGCGAAAAACTTGCAGAAAAAGCCTTTATGCGGAATGGCTGACAGCTTTGCCTTGGTGCTAACAGCCAAACGATGTGGAAAGTCCCGCAGTAGCGAGCGTTTCTCAGCCGGTAGTCGGCCGACCAAGTCTATGGATCGTCCTTGAAATTTCACATCTAGTTGCCAATTATCGCTCATTTTAGCCTCCCGCTGACAGTTCTACCAACTAGCAGTATAATATTTCGATGAGCTCTTATCTGACAAAGTTGCGACAGCGGTAGCAAGCTGAGTAGCGCGAGAAGCAGGAGGGGCGTACGTACACAGCTGCAGCAAAGAAACCAAGCCAGTCCAAGATGTTAAGCGTGCACTTTACGTAGAAACGCGATATTTCAAGATTGCGCACTCGTTCGCGGAATAAATTGCTTGCAAACACAGTCGAAGGCCGTGGCTGCTTTAGGCGGTGATATGGGAGACTGTCCGGCTACCGAGGCTGCCCAGTGTATAGTATAGAGCCTGTGGATTGGCTGAAATTATACTTTAATTTAGATACTGCAATTTAATTGAGTGATACAAAAATACATCTTTAGCACTGATCCAAGGATGTGCTAAAGCTTAGGTTAATTCAACACAAGCTACCCAACGCTTTACCTTACAACATTTATATTTTTGAACTTATATGCGGATCTCGCCTTAAGATGCAATTTTGTTCGCCACGTGCAATGTTTGTAAAATCATGTTAGATTATTTGTACCTTCCACAAGTATTGCAAAACTTTGGACTTGTGCGTTCTAGATTTCAATCGTTTTGTAAAAATCATCATCTTGTGTTAAGTTGTTGCGCTTAGATTGACGTTGCCGACTTTATGTAGGACACACATGCTTAGATTTTTTTTGCCACTCGCAAAGCCAGTTCGCGCCTATCTCAGAGTAAAATCTCAGCCTGTTACCCCAGTGCAGAATTTTCTAAAGAGACCGTCTCAATTTTGCGTCGGCAATGTTGACGAGTACGGAAGATGAGAATGATTTTTTTCGCATCACACACGCGCCCTATTCAAATACCGTTTTGCCGAGTGGACATTATGCAATGACGGCTTGCATTTTGCATCACCAGAATCCAAATCAAGTAAATATTCGAATTGCAGTATCATAGTTGGAGTCGACGCAAACTTGCTCTGTATAGCGACAAGCAGAAGGAGATCAAAATCGTAGCGAGGTTTGGTCGGTTTGCAATAACAAAATGGATGCTCGGATATTTCAATGGTATGGACTTGCCTGTGGTTGTCATTGGTGATGACCACCGCCTCACAAATAAGTGATCGGCACGGCAAATTTCGATTTTCAAAGAAAATTAAGCAAATTGTATAGTGCGACAATATGTTGCTATACATGAAGGAGCGCAACCGAAAACATCTCACTCTGGACGCACAAAGTCCAGTGTTGATCGTGGCGCATACTATGCAACCAAGCGAAGAAGCTTGCATTATGCGATAAGTTTCTACTACACCAGCAGTCGCCATTGTAGGAAAGAACATGACATTTCACTACAACGCGTTCTAGTCAAACGTATAAAGGCGCTCACTTTGTGAAAAGATATGTTTGAATTCCGTATTGCGTGCGCCGAGATAGATACTTACACCGCAAAGGTGTGGTGCATTGGTTTTTAGATCTGCTTTTGCACACGTACCTTTGTTTAGTCAAGCAACGCACCTAGCATTCACAACAAAGTGATCTACACACTTTATAAATACAGCGTCTAAGTTTGCGTCAATGTTAGAGTTGCCGATCGGCTTGCACCGCGATGAGCTCCCAGCATTTATGCACGAATGCGCCTTGCTTCTGTATCATGGTGATGCTGCTCAAATAGTTCTTTGCAATTTAAAAGCAAGCCGTGTTCATCAATGTTAGCACCAGTGATTGGCGATCTAAAATTGTTTCTAGAAGACATTGTGATCATCACAGCCGATTCATGGAAAGTAGGTATCCCTAATTCGGGCAGCATATATGCATCATATATATTGCTAGACGATTTTTATGGAGCGTGCGTGGGACAAGGACAGGCTAGGATAATCGCGCGACAATGATCGTGGGACAAAGAGAGGCTAAGATAATTGCGTGACAATGGTTGTACTACTATATCCTCTTTCACATTAGCACAACAATGTCGGCAACTCTCAGCTAACAAGAGTTGTACCTTACATTGCTACAAACTCACCATTTATCGGCAAGTCCTGATTCTAGGTTTCTGTGATGGCATCAAAGCTGGCAGCTATATCGTTTCATCAATTTCATTATTAAATACTGAATGCATGTTGATGTCGATTGCCTGTTTCGAAACATTTCCCAGCTTTAGCAGACAAGATAGAAAGTTAATCCTGTCGCTGAGTCGCCTGCGCGCTGAATGTCATCTAATACAGGCTCAGTCCAAATATTCGTAATACTAACGTGCGGCTTGTAGTGAATGGCGTACAGCTGTCACAGCGTTTGCCACGTATCACTCGAAGCTTCGAGACCCGGGTTTTCAGGGTCTCACCCTCGTCTGCGTTCGTAGAGAAGTACAATTGTACAACGTTCACATAGCCTGTTGGCATAAGTATGAACGATCACAAGTACCGATGAAGTCCGAGACTTGTGGCTGCCAGAGTGCTTAATACTCGTTCTGGTAAAACGATAATATTTATACAGCGGGGTTGCCGTAGCTCTTGATTAGAGGAAGCTAAGCTAAGGTCACCGACCTCACTTTCCTTCAAAGAACCAGTACAAGCGTAGCGGATCGCGATCCGCTACTTCTAAGTACTAAAGCCTTACCATGGCAAACGAACATTTTGTTCAGAAACGAAACGTTGTCTCATTGCTTGAGTTGCGGTAGAGCCGCCAATAGTTAAAACCTTAGGTTTTCCTAATTGATATAGTAATACCCAGTTAAAATAGCAGTTCTAATTAATATAGTAATATGCATAACTAGTGGAAATATTGCAACTGTAGCCACACCTTGTGTGAATACACTAAATGTGTAATACACAGCAATGTACGGTCACACCATCTTGTGTGACCCGCCCTTTCATACAAGAGTACGTGCAACCCCGTTACAGGCCCTCGGAACCAGCTAGGCTGAGTGTTTTGTGTATCATAGACACAGGGCTCACTGAGCTGAGAATGTTCAAGTATATTCTTAAGGACGTAACGGTATCTCAGACACGCGAGCTTTGTATGAGACGACAGTTAAATGTGAATTGTGGGTATTTACAATTCAGATGAGGAAGAGAGGATCTAAGACCGAACGTGGATACGAGCGTAGGAGAACGGCCTCCAATTGCTGCTCCTGTGTCTCGTTGAGGCGATTGGTCCACTCCCCCGAAAGCCGAGAAGTCGGGTAACGGACATGGTGTCGCAAGGTTTGAGCTGAGCTCACGTCGCGCCGTTGGATTCATCCTCGTCGCCATCCCATGCTGGGATGGGAGCATCCGACTCGTAGTCGACTTCCTTCAGCTCCTCGACGAGAAAATCCGTCGCCCGGGGCGGGCACGGTGTGCTGCGCTCAGTCGGTGGGGACTTGGGTTATGCTTCTCGTGAAGCCGCGGACGTACTATCCGGAGATGCACCCAGTGCAGAAGCCGTGTGGAATACGGTTTCAGCTCGGCAATCCCACTTCTGAAGCAAAAGATGCGATCACTTGATCGTTAGGCGTCTACATAGTTGGGCCCCCGGCCACTACACAAGCTGATCTCGATCAGCGGAAAGCTCTGCGAGCTCGATCTTTGGTACCACAAGAAATCTTAATGGAACGGCACCACGCTTGACTTCAAGCTCGAAAAAGAAGCGCTCTGTATGCGCAATGCAGACCATCCCTGAGGTGCTCGCCCCTGGCAAAACTGCTGAAGATGACGATGAGATCTTTAAACGATAGGTGCAGCGGCACCAGAGACTGGTTTCGCTGTCTTCCTTGAAGCGAAGCCACAAGAAAGTAGACGCGCGAGTTGAGCGTCATCTTAGATTTGAGTTTGCCAAGGCGCAACGTCGACTCCTGCATATTGTCGCCCTGCGACATATGGAACAATCCATAACGCTCCCGCGAGCTCTGGGGTTTCTTACACGAGTGAGTCTACGCCCACAGCAGCTCAGGGCCATAGCTTGAGGTCAGCACATGGCCCTCCGACTTCCCGGGCTACTTTTGAGTAGCGCGAAGCGCACGATGACGCGAGCGTCATGATCCTTCCGATCATATGCGCTCACGACGTTTGGGCAGTCCTTCGAAGTGGTACCTCAAACTCCCACGAGTCTCGGAGTTTTGATATCTCCACCACTTCACAAGATGTTGGGTTAGAAGACGTCGACCCACACGGTGTTCCATGTGATAGTGAACGCCACCATTCTCAGCGAGAAGTGTCGGCTGCAGACGATGACGACTTGGTCGATCACCATACAGTGACTCGCGATGCTCTTCGAGCGTTGGAGGACAAATCCCGTCCTCATCGGCACTCTGCCGAACATCTCTTCAAGGTCATCTACCGCTGTGCAGAAATCCTCAAGAGTCTTTGTGCACCAACTGCCTCGCGTTGAGAATTATCGTGCTCTGTCGGAGCTGCTCCTAGTCATCGAACAGGCGAATACGTCAAATCGTGCGACAGTGGAGCAACTCGCGCCGTGGAAACGGAAGTTGTTGCACTCCGTTCTCAGAACCAGTTGCTGGTAAACGTCTGGGTAGCCGAGCGCCTTCTGGCGCCGCCCGGCGCAACGCTTCCGCGTTCACTTGCGCCGGATCCCGATACGGATAATGCAACCCACATAAGATACAGGGTGGGTGCTCATCCTTCTCGGGTATACGCTAGGCCTCACCGAGACTTCCTGTCGACCATAATGAGTGTCTTGCGGTTCGATGGCTGAAAGCCAAGACATGCAGAAAGAATATGCAGACGGAAGAGGTAGAAGAATTGCTGAATGCATTGAGGTCAGAGACCTGGTTCTAAATGCTTAACTTCCATACACATGCAGATTCTGCTGTGTTTAAGGCAAAGTTCCGATTACAATTCACTGGACATTTTAAGGTTGTGGCCAAGGGCTTTTTTACGCACAATGAAGGGCTGACATCAGTTAGTCGTTTGCCTTTTCCTTCCCCACCAAGTACTGAGCCGTGGGTTGGTGGCGCCACCGGGACGCATGGATTAATAAGCCCGTTCACGTAGAATGGCGTGTAGCCGGTAGATAGACACACTGCATTGTTCAGAGTAAATTCTACGAGTGGCAGCATGGCACTCCAGCGCGTCGGTGTCTCAGCGCTGACGCTGAGGACAATGTCTTCAACGACGCGATTCACGCGCTCAGCTTGATGATCAGTCTGTGGATGGTTTGCTGATGACATAGTCAACTTGGTGTCCATCACCCTGAAAAGTGTAGACTAAAATTCCCCAGTGAAGCGTGGGTCTCCGTCAGGAACAATTGACTCCGAAAGTCAATGTTGTCGAAAGACGCGATCGACCAGCAGCGTCACTGAAACCACACCGTCGATGGTATCCGGCACTGCCGCAAATGAACCATCTTGCTCAAACGGTCCAAAAAGACCACCACATCCGTGTTCCCTGCCGAGACCTCCGGCAGGCCAAACACAAAGTCCATACTCATCGACTGCCAACACTCGGAGGATACCAGTAAACTAGCTTGCGGCGCCGCCTCCGTATTCGGGGAGGATTTCACCTTTTGACACATCTCACATGTTCGCGGATGTGTGCTCGTCCACTTGTACAGCTTGGGTCACCAATAGCGGCAGCTCACTGATCTATACGTCTTCTCACGACCGAGGTGACCATTTGGTGGAGTGCCACGGGCCTCATAGAGGATACAATATTTCAAATCTAAAGCGTGAGGAACCACAATTTGTGGCGTATCCATCGAATCGATACTAGAATACAGCAGCCCGTTATTCAATTATTCAACAAATGTCGGTGAAACCGTGCGCGCAAACGCGCCGACAACTTTTTTCCGAGTTCTAAACTTCTAGCTCCCGAGAGTCTGTAGCAGCGCTACACACATACCATCACCCGCGTATGCGGTGTGGATCAAATCCGTCACAGATGACGTCACCGTCGTGACATGAGCAAGTCATAAACCGGTCTGCGTGACAACGTAGCAGCCAAAGCATTCTGCTTTTCTGGCTTATACTTCGCCTTGAAGTTTTATTTTACAAAGAATGAGAGCCACCTGGCCATCCTCTTCGGGATGTCAGGCGACTGGGTCGCATTGTGTAGTGACGCATTAGCTGTGTAGAACACAAACGGCTTTGAGCGCAGCAGTTGCACCCTGCATTTGACAAGTGCATACTTCAGCACAGGCAATTAATTGTCGTGGACTGGGTTATTCCTCTCCACAGCCTTAAACTGACGAGATTCAAACTGGATCATCCGATATCTCCCCTCGGCGTCTGCTTGTAGCAGTGCACAGCCGATGGCAAAGTACGAAGCGTCACAGACGACACTAAGAGGACGATCGGGGTATGGCAACGCCAGTATTGGTGCATGAAGAAGGCTGGCTTTGACCCTGTCAAAAGCCTTCCGATGTTCGGTGTCCCAACACTATTCTATATACTTTCTAGAAAGATTAGAAAATGTTCGTGCCATCTCTGCATAATTTGGCTATACTTGTGCAAGTAGTTGGCGAGGCCAAAACACTTGCGCAAGTCCTTTTGGTTCTTTGGAACCGGCCAGTCCATAATAGCTTTTATCTGATCGAGATCCGCTCAAAGATCAAGCTTCTTCATGAAGCTCCCTATAAAGG